CACACGTATACTGATCATATCACTATAGCAACCGATGGCTGCTACAACAGTTGGTTATAAAAAACTAAAATTAAAAGACGGCGATTGACTTATAAAGCAATTAGTAGAGCATGCATCGTACACTAAAAGGAAAAGTAGACTATTATACTTAGGTTAGATTTATGCATTGAAAAATTTCCTCCGGGCCTTGCAGGCCCTCAGAGGAAATTGTTTCAAGCATTAAATCTAACCTTCGTACAATAATTTTCCTATATATAGTGTACACTATGCGGAGCTCTACTAATTGCTTATTAATGTTTCTGTCCATGTACAATCAAAACATGCATCACTTGCAAGATAATTCATCACCTAATACGATTCTATAATTCTAAGCATAAATATAATTCTAATGATGGTTAATTCGTAATTCCTAATAAACTTCGGAAACTCGGTAACAATAGCCACTATATCAATCTCAGTTTTACGATCTTATTTAATCATTAATTACCGATGCTTTACTATAAATTATGATCCGTTTTACAATAAAGTTTAATACAATGATGTTTAACTTACCGGTTGAACTGCTCAATACCCATAGAACAACCGTGGTAACTTTCTCAAATAACTAAATTACACTACAGAATTCTCGAACGCTTCTCTCTCTACGAAAAAATAATTTACTGTGTCTTATCGAAGGGCGAAAAGAAAACTACAAAAATGAGAGACAGCTAACAAGAGAGGGTGCTCATTTCGTTCCCACACGAACATCAGGGAGCAGCAAAATTGCTGCTTCCAGAAAATAAATGAAATGAATAAAAAGAACAACAACATTCATTTATTCATTCATTCATTCTTTATTCAGCCAATGAAATAACATACTATACAATGAAAGGAAATTTAACAAAAACAAGACAATAAATTATATAACCTTGCCATTTTCTGCAATCAAATGATGATTAATGTGATGATGATGGTGGACAAGCTTTTCGTAGGTGTTAGGGAGGGGTTTGTTCCCCGTAGACGCCACTGCAAATATTTTTAAGACTACAACAGAAGAAAACAGCTAAGTTCTAGCAAATTAGAATCCGAAATAGTCCGAAAATTATCAAATTAAAATGTTCACTCTCGAAATAAGAAAATTGCACAAGTTAAATAATCTAAAAAATGCATCCCTTTTCGCTTGAAATGGCATCCGCTCAAACTAACATTTGTTTGGAGTGGCATCCGCTCGTATTAACTGGTTTCGATAAGGACGGCCTCCTGTGTTTATGTAGCCTGGCTCCCAGGCCCTAGTTTTGGGTTACTCATTCTTTATTGTGCTTAGTGCGCACCATAGCCAATTTAATTGGCGTCCCATACTCGATTTTTCGTCTTTAAATTAGCTTGCTCGTTGGTGGCGCTGTCCAGAATGATAAAAAAAACAAAACATAAATTTAATGTCAGCCTATGTTTATGTTGTGCGAGAAATAAACAATTACACTTCACAGGAAATGGAGAGATTTCGAGGCGGTTCTGCCTCCATTAATGGCCAGATAATAGGAATTGGTCCTACTGAATTTGTGCATATCCTTAATTTGGTATGTATTTAGGTGCATATAGCCCTAGAGTTGTAGTAAATAGGTCTTTCTTTATGAGAGTGCCTGTCATGGTTGGTAGACGTGTCTGGTTAGCTTTGTTTGAAAGACCCTGGATGGATGACAAGGCCTAGGCCTAGGTAAAAATAGAATAAAGTTTGGAATATTGATTAGTAGTAATAATATCTATAATTAAAAATAGATTAAACTTTTTGTGCATATGTAATTAGTACTCTACATACACAAAACAGTTCAGACACCTCAATCAAAAGACAAGTTAGTAGGCCTAGCCTAATTGCCATTTTCTGCAATCAAATGATGATTCAGAATGTGATGATGATGGTGATGATGATGATATTGATAATTGAAATGTTTAAATATTTTCTTGTTTTTTTTTGGAACCTGAAACAAGCCTTTGTGCCTTCTGCTGCCATGTTTAATTCAATTCTATTTTTTAATATGAATGTTTCTGATTTTAGATGGATACTTTTTATATAATGTTTAAATTCATGTTATTTTTCTGAATCTTAGGGATATTTTTGGCTTTGAATGCATTTTATATGATATTTTGTTATTTTTCTTTTCATGATATCTTTATTTTGTAATTTTCCCATGGAAAGCAATACATATAACACACTATTATAACACAGGTATTATAACAATGCTCACTTACTTTTTTTTAGTCAACCAATATTACTTTTCTTGAGACTGGGCCTCAGCGTCTGATCCTGCAATCAAATGAGAAGCTAGTGGCCGGACCTCTGTCTTGCATAATTGTTCCTCCTGCTTACTATTGCACTGTTAAAAATCCAATCAAGTAAGCGATTTCATTCAATTTAATTAGCAATCGGTCAAACCAATATACACCTAGAAACACAGGCAAAGGAGCACATGGTTTGGGACACTTAAGTCCTTACACATTTTTCAACACCTTCTAAGCCCTGTTCAGAACTCGGTAACATGCAAAAGCACATCTTATTCAGACTGTTTCCCTATACTTTCACACACAATGAATATCAACTTAAAATCAAAGAAGTTCTAGGTTTACATTACTTGGGGAAATCCTTCCCTTAATAACAAACAAACAACTCATTACAATATCACTCTTTCTGGGTGGTCAGAAATGGTGATCGAGATATTGACCTCCAAGGTTTTTTTTTTTTCCAGAAATTTGGAAGAAGGAAAACAGTGTGAACTGGAACATGGACACTTTGATGTACGATTCCATCAGGTAATAATTATACTCTAATAGTTTCCCTAAATGATGATTTTTTTTTAAGGCTTAATGTTTAACATTGTTTGATTTAAGATACAGCATATGTGGCAAATACCAGCCAAACCAGTCACTTCTTACAAAAAAATTGCAAAAAAAATTGATGTTTAGTTATTAATGCAGGGTTAAAGAGTAAAATGAAAGTTATAAAATGGTGAAAGAATCATTTAAATCTGCCGATATTTAAACTGTTCTTTTGAATGTTTCAGCGTCTCTTTTAATACAGTACAACTTGTTAAGTTTGTGCATACAGCAGAATTATATAGTATTATGTAAATTAGACCAAAAGTTCACATCCCAGCATAGGCTTGAGGTCATTAGAGTAAAGTAGGCCTTGCTAAAATATATCAACATTGCCTGGTTTGCAAACCAAGGAAGATCCCCAGCCCAGTAAATTATATTAACACTTTTAGTGACTGTCAAATAACAGCCTTGAAGGTGGCCTAAATTTAAACTTTGATTTAAGATCTCTAAAAATATTAGTTTATCAATCACACTTGAATCATAATGGGTTTTCTCCCATGGTGGTATTGATTCAAAGCATTCAGTTTTTGGTGCCCCCCCTCCCCAATAACGAAAGATCCTGGACCCGTCACTGATCTGTAAAATTTGATGCTTCTAGTGTAGATAAGTGAAAAAGATAGATTGATTTGCTTTATAAGGCATTATATATACAAAATAAAAATCTTATACGTCACGGGTTCAATACTAAATTTTCCAATATATAGAGATTTTGGTTTTACCATGTTACTGATTGTTTACTTGCATTGTTTTTTCCATTTGGTACTGAAATTTGATATTAAAAACATCCTTTAATATTCTACATTGCTCTTTTGTCAAAGGTCGTGACTATTCAAAAGCGGTACGCCCTCTCCCAGTTGTTAAGTGTAATCAAGCCATTAGGCTCCAAGTCCTCCTGGATCATCAGGACGGGGATGTTCAGCATAAGGCTGGTGATTGCTTTCAACTTAATGGTCCATTGACGTACTACCCAAATCCTAATGTGGCAAGTACTACTTTAATTGTTTATTTATAAATAGTATTATTATAAAGCTGCCCTGGGTATAAGCCCATGCCCTATTTTTAATATAACTAATTTCAAATTTTTTAATATAACTAATTTCAAATTTTAATTTGACAATAAAGCTATCTTGTATCTTGTATCTTGTATATAATGTTCATGAAAAATACTTGTCTTGGGTAACTTCTTTGGTTTGGAATGAAAATTCTACACTGTGTGTGGCCTAGGTAATGATTCTGAAATGTATGATGGACCAAACATGAAACAAATTACTGTATGTTGAAAATAAATATAAAAAGGGCCTAGCTAGGATATTTATGTCTTCCTTGGCAGTAAGTAAATTGACTAAAATCTAATTTATTTATTTTTTAATTTTAGGAGATCTTAGGGATTATACAGCCACTTGTTGTTAAAGATGGACATGCACTGAAGATGAAAGCTACACAGGAATTTACTGACACGAATGGAAGGTACAATTTGCTATATAAAACAATAGTATTAAGGGACAATTCCACAACAGTTGAGAACAAATTCAATAAATTATGACATTAAATAATTAAGAGGTTTGAATTTTATAATATCATTGAAGATTCAGCATTAATCATCATATACTTTACATGAAATTGTTTTTTTTTTTTTTTATTCCAGATTTGAAAATTGCAGATTTAGCAGTGGTTTATTTTATTTTTCTATTTCTGGTTGTTTATAAAGCCTCTTTAAAAAGGTCTTATTTAACAGTGGTTTATTTTATTTTTTCTATTTCTGGTTATTTATTTTCTTCTTTTTCGAACAATGGTCCATCAATTGTATAACATCACCTTTTAGTACCATTTCGATAATTATATAGGACAGAAATGCACAATTATATGTTTTATACTCATCCACCATTATTGATTCAAAGGGCTCGAGTGACAGATGAGATGTGGTTAGTCCGCACACCAGGGGCGTACTTACCAGGTGTATTTGAGGAGTATGTGGAAGAAATCAAAGCTTACGTTCTCAATGACAACATAGGCTTACACATGCTTGCGGAGCATAACTGTGTTGATGCTCTGGGACGAAAGCGAAAAGCAGGCCAAAGTTGGCTCATCACTAAGGACCAAGCAGAGGCTTATATTCCAGAGATTGGAGAGGTATAGTTTACAAAATATATTTTGTAGTTTGTATTAAAAATGTTATCATTATGTTGTTATTTTTTCAATAATACTTATCCTCATTAAATTTGGAAATATAAAAATTGAGGACTGGCGGCAGCTGCAGTGCAGTATCGCCCGACTTAACTATAACGTGTAACGGATACCTACAGATACAATCAAAGTCTTTAGCCCATTTAACTCTTAATATGAGGGTTATTCGAGGAGATGAGCGGTCAGACTCCAATTGGCGGTTTGGGGTCAACAGCACAAGATGCAGGAACAATACCTCTGAGCCAACCGTTCAATGCCTCTCAGTTGTATTCCCCCAAATTTTAGTGGTAAACAGACACATTTAATAGGACAATAGTAAAGTAATTAGCTGTATGTACCAGACCATACCCAAGTCTCTCTTAATCACATTTTTTGCTACAGGTTGTGACAAATATAGTCCAGAAGACTGTTCTAGCCAAAGGCGAATACTGTGTCATTTATGACCCAGTGGATGCAGCAGGAAAGGTGCAACTGGGTCAGAAAGAACTCCGCAAGGGGGTGTCATGCTTCTTCCTTCATCCAAGTAAGTATTAAAATTTTAAATAATGTAATCATTGGAAATTGGAGGTTATCTCTTTGAGAGTGAAGTAGCTACTAGGTTGAAGTAGGGCTTACGTTAGAATAGACTCCATGAAAAACAATAGACTGTAAAAATGCAGTCGACTTTGGAATAGAGCAAAGACTACCATCACATATACTCCATATAAGGCATATGCTGAGTTTCGATACCTCATTGCCCATTGTGTTTGAATGAATTTGAGATTTCTTGTACTGTACTGTTACTTCATAGAGTTGTAGGAGGCATATTCATGGGATTAATATTTTATTTTGTTGGCTTCAGCTGAAATTTTGGCTTGGCAATATTGGTAGTTGCTTTTCTCTCTTGTTGCAGATGAGGAAATTTTTCATGGCATTAAGAAAGAATTTGTATTATCAGAGGATGAGGCAGTTGTGTTAGTAGCTGTTGAAGCATTTAAGGATGATGCATTTCCAGGTAAGAGTAATGGAATGTAATCTTCATGTAGTTATTTCTATCAGTGACACAACGTCAAGATGCATACCCAAGCTAAAACTCAAAAGAAAATATTTTGCTGTGCCTTAGTTAAAATAAATCTGCATACAGGCGACCGGTATAAGAAACTTGTATAATTTAATTTTTAAATTGTTAAACGTACAGGAATAAGAAATCTTTTGAGAAGAAACTACAAACCTGCAGGTATAAAAAGAAATAAATCAGCTGATAATTGTCTTTATTATACAGGTAAACCAATTAGAAATCCAGGTGACAGGTGGATGATCAGGGGTCCAGCATCCTACATTCCACCCATCCAGGTGAAAGTGATGGACCAAGGGCTTAAACAGTTTGTGAGGTTTGTTTATCTGAAGTCATTCTCTCATCTCATTGGTGGTGGTGGTGATAATGATGATGATGATTGTCATCATCACCATCATCATCATAATCATCATGTTATTAATCTCCATTGTTACCACCATTATCATTATCATCATCAATATTGTCATAATCATGATTCTGATTTAGTTCAAATTTACATTGTTATCACATTATTCTCAAAATCTATATCATGATAGATTATTTTAATGTCTGACAAATTCTCTACTCAACCCTTTAGGAAAGCAATTTCTCTTGCGGAGAATGAAGGCATCTACATTCGTCATTTGCAGACAGGAAAGATCCGAGCCGTTATGGGACCTCAGTCATACTTACTGGAGGAATATGAGGAATTGTGGGAAAAAGAGCTATCCCCTCTAGTTGAGGAGATTTTGAGGTTAGACTAAATACAGTAAAACTCCTATTATTATTCTAAATTTCTGTATTTTTGAACAAATTTCATGCTAGTTATTTATGTGAATAAATTGAACTTTGAACCTATTGAGTATTAAAAAATCCTTGGCACATCTGTAAACCGAAACATAAGTGGCTCTTGCAAAACCAGCCATTTGTAGGAAAAATTCAATATTGAATTTTTAGTACTTCTGGATTCTTCATGAATTCTTCTTTAAAACAGTGTTTATTTGATGCAAATTGGTAGAGTAATAATAGCAAAGTTATGAATATTTAATTCATTAGATATCCACCATGTAGGTTTTCAGAAAACAGCTTCCAAAGACTTGAAAATTATTAGTTTACTCTTAAGATTTTTATTTTAAACAAAAAACAATTTTAATATACTTGTCAGATTTAGTGATTGATAATTTGCAGATATATATTTACATATATCTTATATAAAATGAAAAAACCTGAAAATGTTAAAAAATTATAATTCTCAAACATTTTGGGTGCTTGTGCGAAATTAGAAATAGTGAGAAATGCTGGGTTTTTTGCCAGAACCGGTCACAAATTTGTTTATGCTTGAGATTCTATAAATAAGGGAAATCTGATGTTATATTAAAGGAATACTTGTTATCGTTTATAAATGTTTTTCATATCAGGAATGGTGGCGGGTGCGGTGCTGACGACATTCGAAAGATGGCGTACTTTGAGGCTTCTATCGACTCCCAGTATGCCAATAAAAAAGTATGTTTTTACGCTGCAATTTGTATGTCAACATAATTTAATTATGTTTTCAATAGTTTGCAGGTATCCAGCACTGCCTGTTAAACAAGAACAAGAATAAGAACAAGAACATCAGTGAGGCTCTGGGTCAGCGCTTCGCGAGGACCAAAAATTATTGTACAAAAGTGGTCATTTGCATATTTTGTAATAATTATCAAATCATTATTATTTCAGGGTCGAGACAAGACTAGAGTTGTCACATATCGTTGCCCAGGAAATACTGCAGTTCAGGTATTAAACTTTTTTAATGGAAATTATTATGTTTGGTTTTTGGGTAATATATTCATTGACATTTGAAACTGAGTATATTTACTTGGAATTTGTTTAGAAATATATTAATGCATTTACTTCTTTTTTCAGGTTTATAAATACAAAGAGAAAACAGGCAGAGTTGTTTTTGGTCCAGATATGGCAATCCTAGGACCTCAGGAAGATTTCAATATCCTTAGTCTGAGCGGTAATTTTTTATCAGTTGTTCAATCAGTCTATCAATCAATCAATCAATCGAATGATCAATTTATATTGATCAATCAATCAACCAACCAACCAATTAATCAATCTATCCGTTTATCAATCAATCAATATCAATGTAATCAGTCAGTCAGTTTATAGTTAATTAATCAATAAGTACTGTAAATATATACAGTTCTTTATTAAATCATTGAATTAATAAATCTTTCAATCAATAAATTAATCTGTTTTATTGCAGCTGGCAAGCCTAAACGTGAAAATGCACTCCAGACCATCTGTTTAATGCTTGGCCCTGACTACATCACAGATATTTTGGAGGTAAACCATAGTTACATTTGAGTCATTGCTGGATAAAAATTTAATTAAATCTATTAAAAGTATTTTTGCTGCTCCTAAATTCAGCTTTATATTACTTTCTGTTCGGAAGTTTGGCTGTATTATACATGAGTTTACACAGACCAATACAGTCACAAAGCAAGACCTTAGACTGTTTGGGAAACTCAGCAAGGAGGTGGAAAAAGCAGACGCAGACATAAGCTTTCTTAAAAATTGTAGAATTTTTCTCATTTATTGCAATTAAATTAAATCAATTTAAAAATTATATTTCTCATTTACAATCTGTTTTGTTGATGTTTGTATTTTGAATGTTCTTTACAGGTAGAGACATCTGATCATGCAAGACTAAGAATCAAAATCGCATGTAACAACCATTTTGAGGTTTGTTTATTTATAAGTGGCTTGGTAGTTAAGATAGTTTAAGGAGACTTATAGAGGGCATACTGTAGGTTTTGCCATTAACTATTTGAACATTCTTGGTTCAAGTTTATTGTGATCTGTTGCCTCTTCTTTTCTTTTATTTAATGAAATAAAATTTAGAAAAAATTTAAATAGTGAAGATGAAAAGTAATATTCAAAATATTAGTCATTTCTTTCAGGTGGTAAGAGGTGATAATAAATCGGAGCAAGCTATTTTTTCAGTTCCAGATTTCATTGGATTTGCTTGTCGTGAAATCGGTAGGAATTTCTTTATAATTATTATCAACATTTTTATTCTTGAACATATTGCAGAATTTAATATTTTCAGCATAATCATGTTTAAAGGCACTGCATAACAACTCTTATTTTATATGTTTTAGCTTTTTCAATATGGAGACAACTATGCTAATGATTACTGATTGATTAATTGATTTTATACTGACTCATTGAATTCAACATATTGTTTCCTTTTAGGGAGCCGAATCCGTGGGGCAGTATCTCGGATTCGGTTTGATGAATTCCACAAGTACTCGATGAAGATACTTCGTGCAGCTGTCTTTGGTGTGGACACCAAAGGCAAGGTGCTCGACAGACTGTATTTTGAAGCAAATCATTTGGTAAGATAATTTAGTTTAAGGCTTGTATAAAACTATACTCATTTATGTTCTATTTATTTAATTATTTTTGTACATGGTGCATCTAACCAGTGGCGAGTAGCTGAGAAGTAAGGCAGGAGTGCCGCTAACTACAGCCGTAACATCGACACTGATTCAAGTCACTCCTCACCCAGGGTTTGGTTGGAAGAACCAAATCTTATCGGATAAGGACTTAAAATGGCGGTCCAGTGTACACATTTTGCTTGTGTGCACTTTTTAGAACCCATTGCATCTTATGTAATTCAGCACAATGAACTGTCCCTGTCTGACAAGTCCTGGCCATGACATGTACCAAAAACAAGCAAAAATTTTTTTTTGTCTAGTATTAGAACAGTCAAACCCCCTGTGGGACAGCTTAGCCTCTCCCATGCTTGTTAGTCCTAGAGTCATCTGCTAACTGATAGCTTAAATCCACTAATTTTGCTTACGTCAAGGTTATCACCAATGTTGATGTGCAGAGCATTGAACCTGTAGACACACACATGAGAGACAGTTTGATGAAGTCAGTGCAAATGGCAATCGAAATTGCAACAAGGTAAAAACCATATTGACTTACTTGTTGGTATTCAACTTAAACCATGCAATTGTGTAGCTAGCAAATTTGCCTGCTTTAAAATATAAAATATTTCAGATCCATTGAAGCATCGGCAGAACATGAGGCAAGCAGAATGGAGCAAGAGGCCAAAGGTCAACTAGAACGTCAAAAGTTGTCAAATGAGAAAGATGCAGAGAAGGCCAGATGTCAACTGTATTCATTAAGGGCGGTGACAGCGGCTATAGAATCGAGTGGCCAAGCAAAAGCAGAAGCATCGGTAGGGTTTCACCAAAATACAGTGTAATATTAATAATAATAATAATTTGTAGACCTATATAGCGCCCTCTATGTGCTTCACATTGTCATTACACCAGTCATTGGATTAAACGCCTACGGAACAACATGGAGGTACACCTCCATGGGAACACAAACTCATGCTCCCAGGGGAGTATTCCATAATGTTGCAGCAGCTAATGAATACATTTTAGCATTTACCATACCAGGTACAGATACCCACTTAGACTGTGTGGAGGTCAACAATGCAGTATACTTAATCAGAGTTGAATCTCAAAAAATGTATTTTGTCTTTTTTGGGGTTACTGTCATTTTGTGATTTTCAGAAACTTTTTAAAGCATGTTTACTCTAATTATAATGCTGGACCTATCCTGAAAATGTTAACTTGTTACAGTGCCTTTATGAGAAATTTCCATGTCAGTCTATAATTAAGGCCTAATGATCTTGTATAGCTTTGTGGTTAAAATGCAGGCCTTTTAATTCAATTTCTTTGATAGCAGTACTTTTTCTCACAACTAACAACTAACAACTCCACTTAAGTTTCATAAAGACACTTGGTTTATAAAGCATTGTTCCATTCTATAAATACTTGCTGTTGGATGCGAATGGAAAATATGATTAATTTCATCAAATATTATTATTCTTTTATAGGCACAGGCTGAGAAACTTCGGATAGAGTGCCAGAGCGAAATAGTGTCTGCTCAGCTGAAGGCCCAGGCTGAGGAGATCCTGCACTCTTCGGACCTTAGCACCAAGTGTATGCTTCGTGAGTTTGAGCTCACCAACCTTCAAGACAAGAATAACCTAGAGACTAACAAAGCTAAACGCCTCACTTCAATAGAAGTAAGCTGTTGGTGAACATTTTTTCTTGTAAATAATTACTTAAAGGCAAAACTTATGTTACACCTGTCATCAATAAAAATTTGTATTTATTTTTGTGTACAAGTAATAGATTGTTTTCTATGCCCTAATCTACAGGTTTCAAAGTTTAAGAAGGTAGTTGAAACTCTTGGTAGAGATACAATAACAGGTATTGCTGTAGCTGGTCCAGAAATGCAGGTAAGAACAAGACCACATTTGATTGGTCTTCACATTTTGTAGTCACTGATAAAGTTTTGTTCATTTTTCTATAGTGAAGAATACTACGCTTTAGTTCATTTGAGATTTACAAAGTGGTTTTGTTTTGTTTGTTATTATTGGTTTCACCACACACAACATAAATAGTACAATTTATTCAAACTGATGTGATGATTATGTTGTGGCAGATAATGATAATAATGATGTGGCAGATAATGATGATGGGGACGACAATGACAATGGTAATAATGGATGATAAGGGTGATGATAAAGATGCTGATGATGACAATGACGACAATGATGATGCTGATGCAGATGTTGGTGACGATGATTGTGGTGATATTGCTTAAAATGATTAATAATGCTTAGCGGCAGCTGATTCATTTGAGTTGCTTTAACTCTCCCTGCCCATTGTTTTGTTGTATCTTGTTGAATTTTTGCTTTTTTAATGTTTATATGGTCGAATTAATAAATGAAATGAAAATGGGTGTTGAGGGTGATGTGATTGTGGTGATATTTTTGAGGATTATGAGGAAGTTGATGATGCTGAATTTTTGAAGCTAGCATCCATGAATTATAAAATATGCAAAATCAATTAAGAAAATGACAGTGATGGTGAGGTGATGCTAATGACAACATGAAAGAAATAAAATTACAATATCACCCTTGTATACTTCATACACAGGTGCAGCTGCTTAAAGGACTTGGATTGCAGACTACATTTATCACGGATGGCAACAATCCAATCAACCTCTTCAATACAGCACAGGGACTTGTGGGTAATAATTAAAATGGATGCAATGTGCAGGAAGCCATGTTGATACTATGCACACTATGATCCATCCTTATAGACGTCATCGGAATCAACATTTTAGAAGATTCCCGATTACATAATACAGTGTTGTGCAGAAATATTATTTAACCTAGGCCTAGATACCTTTTATTGAAATCAAATTCTAGTAGAATTCAAATTTTAAAGATTTATTAATTTAACATAGATATATTTTATAACTAAATAGTACTAGAGCAGGGAAAATTGCAATCTCTGATAATATGTTTTTTATATTTTTGTAATCATGATTTTATTTACTAACTACAATGTATGTTAAAAAATTAGGTTCATAGTAGTATCTAAGGCTTGGCTTGTCTGGCTTTTAGCAAAATAATTAGCAAACTGCCTACAAGTGGTAATGTTAATATTTTTAAACATATCTGTGCTATCCATAGTATCGAATACTGTTTACCCCATACTCCCCAAGTGTTAAGGTTGATAAATAGAACGGAGCTCTCCAGATAGGCAAATAGGCAATAAATGGACACTGAAAATTCACTGGATACAGAAGGTGGACAAAATAACGTTTATTTATTATGTAATATGAAGCACACCAAGACCTTGTTGGCATGGTGTGCAGTAGTGACTCCAGAAATTTGCTGATTGGTGGGGGGGCAAAAATTCTGACAGGGGTTCTGAACCAAGGGGTTGTCTAGAGCCTTGTTCAGGGTTCCGGAATAAAATCCCTGGTGAAGGTCACTGGGAGAGATTATATGGTTAGGATGGCCCAAAATTTACAATACTAGGGATTGGCAATCACAGTAACTGATTGGACTGAATGACCTTGCCATGGCATGGAGGGCATACAGGCTTATCAAACACTACTACTGTATGTACAGTATTTCTAATGCCGCCATATGTGTACCCTTTATAATAAGTATAGTCTTTTATCCTGTGATTGTAATGTAATATGTATGTCAGACTCTAAAAATATTTTTATGTTAATTAACAACTTTGGAAATCTGTACAATCATAGAAGTGGCTTGGGGTTTGAAACTCTCGCTGTGCAAATCGCTTGTGTCCTTGGGCAAGGCACTTTATCTACGGTTTGTCTCTCTCCACCCAGGAGTACAAGTGGGTACCTGGTAGGTTCAAACGCAACCATGCACTGATTACAGCTGCAACATTATGGAATTCTCTAGTGGGGCCTGAGTGTGTGTTCCATAATGTGGTTGATCTAATGACCGGTGGTAATAATACTAAGCGCATAGAGTTCTTTACAATATGCGCTATTATAAGTCGACAATTATTATTATTGTTGTTAAAAGCAGAATAAAAACATTCATGCATAAATACTGCTTATCAGTATTAATTGGGAACTAACAAGTACCTATGAATATTCAATTATGCATAGCAGCTGCTTATGAATATTTATTCATTTATTCCAAGCATGTATGGATATTCAAATAAAGAGTTGCATCTCAATAATAAAACAAGTTGTTGAAAGATAAATTTAAAGTGATGGTCTTCCTTACTGCTGGATTGAAGCTACGACTGATATTAAGTGGAACATCATGTCTAGGGTCATTATGTTGCAGTGGCGTTGGGATGGGCAGTGCAAAACACTGGGACCCAGGGCTATAAGGGGCCTATCCATAAATAGGCCTAAAAATAATAATAAAATATAACTTCCATCTTAATATTTTTGAAGAATAAACGGCCAGTGGGCCCCTCAATATTTAGATTTTTTGAGGAGTAATTATTAATTACTGTGGTTAATCTTACGTGCCAGTTTTCTTGATTAGCTAGCTTCTGATACTGCATACGCCCCTCATGGAAAGATAAGAAGCACTTCTTACGATAATTTTTCTGAAAACATAAATCAGTAAACCAAGTACTAGAATTTTCATTCTTTAAATTCATAATATGGCTACTGAAAACGTCTCAGCTTTCGAGGAAATTGACGTCTCCCAGAACCACCCACTACCCATAACTTCACCTTCAGAGGGGCCCAGCAATAAATTTCTTAGAAGCTAAATGTTATCATAACTTTAATTTATTAAAGTATTTCATAGTCTATAAACTTTATATATTATTCCGCAACAGAAAAAGACATTTCCATGAGTTGATCGAGTCCAGCAACAATGACATCACCAGATTTGACAGGGCCAACTCCAGAGGGCGTGCCAGTCAGGATCATATCACCTGGCTCAAGGGTCATCGACCGACTAATATAGCTTATAAGGGTTGGGACCTTAAAAATCATGTCACTTGTGTTACCGTCTTGTCGTATATCTCCGTTGACTGACAACCATAACCTTACATTGTGAACATTTTGTACACGTTCTTTTTCAACAAACTTGCTTACTGGACACGATGTGTCAAATGCCTTTGCTAAAGTCCATGGATGACCCTTTTTCTTTGCTGCATCCTGGAGGTTTCTCGCGGTCATGTCAAGTGCCAAAGCGTACCCGCCGACATGATCCATGGCCGATTCTACCGGAATATCTGTTCCTTTAGTTCCAATAACGACCCCAAGTTCAACTTCATGATGGAGATCAGTACAACCTGGCGGCATCTTTATTCAATAAACGAAAGAAAAATTTACATTTTGTTTAACCTTCTAGAGATAACGCCAAAAAAATAAATAAATTGTTTTTTGCCCTCCTTCACCCGCCCCTAACTCACTGAAAAAAATAGCTTTTTTCTTTACAAATAAAAAAATGTGAGTGAATTTATCTTTATTTTTATCATTTAAAAAAAGAAGGGCTAACACAGAAGTCCCAAGTTGGAAGAAACCACTTCCTGGTTAAATGAGCTTTATTTCGCTGCACATGGTATATCGTCAGCAGACAATTGATAATTACAGAAGTAAAACAAATGCAATTAATTTTTTTGGAGATAGGTTTTTACATGCGCTGGAGTATGGGAGGCTGGCGTACCGGAAAAATCTGTTGACTCACAGGAGACCTGGTACTACTGACAATATTAGTACTATATAATAATAACTATTGTAATGTTATTAATATAATTTACAAGTAATAATAACAATATTTCATATAGAAAATAATTTAATACATTTTTTGACAACATAAATACAGTGTAATGGTACATCCTGTAGCATAGCTCTCAATGAATGTTGTCCTATAAATAATAAATACACTGTGCAATAAAATTCCTCCAGCGGGATTCGACCACAGAGGCTTCATGGTTGAACAAATTCAAATACACTCCATTGAACAATATGTATGGCTGGAAATAAATAGTAGCATATAATAAAACTAGATGTATATAAGAGACAGATGTTGTATAAGAGACAGTATATATATATATATATATATATAATGAAAAAGATACACACCTTAATTTTGTTTCCCTCCGATAAGTACGCTGTTGTTGGCTTTAGAAATAGTAAAGGTTCGGTTGGAACTTTATTACCCAATTCAGTGGCGTGTTCTCTAAAAGAAAAAAAAGATAGGCCTATACTGTCACCATCACATACCGTATTTATTTCAATGAAACGCACCAGGGCATCTATTGTTGAGAAGGGTTTTTGAGGGGACATTTATTTGAGGGATGCCAGTATTCGAGCAAGGTTGTTATTTTTTTGGGTGTAAAATGGATACATACTCAATTAGGGCCCCTTAACTTTACTGTAAATGTGCAACTACAACATCGAATTTAACTGTGTTATTGCAAGGGCGGATCCAGTAGGGGGGGTTGTGCTTACCACCCCCCACCCACCTGGTTTGCCACGGAAAAAGTCTGGATCCGCCCCAATATTGCATGACCATATCAAGGATCAATGATCAAAACCAGGTTAAAAAAACAAGAATTCTAAGAGCAGAATAATAATAATAATAGTGTGTTGAGAATGACGTTGTTTCCATTAGTTTTGTTTAGTTATTTGGCATTTATTCCAAATGAAGCTCTGGAGGGGACGTCAATTCGGGGGGGGGGGGGGGGGGGGCGGCGTTATCTTTTTTAGTAATTACGGAAACCCTGTCTGTCAGTGTCAGTCGTGGAGGGTAAGAGTCTCTTGTATCCGACGAGAATGAAAAGCCATAGGATTTGAGCTCCCCTTGAATTGAAAGATATCTTTGGAGCGGGGTAGGCTGACGCTCGCTGGCCTGGGTCACTACTAGGCCTAAGCAGCCTAGCTAAATAAGTAAGCCCAGTTTGGTTGGCCTGTATGGCGTGTTGATAAATGTCATTCATTTAATTTTACTTACGCATAATTTCTGCCAACACAAACAATCTTTTTCCCCAATTCGACAAACTTCGATATATTCATGATCAATGATTAATTACTCTCTTTTATAATGTATATCACAGGCCTATGAGATTTCTAAAAAAATACGCCCCCTTTGCTAGATGTTAAAATCAGCCAATCACCATTCACCATTCTACTTCTACAGTACTATTTAAAGTTTTATTACAATACTGTAGTTGTATTACATCATTTGAAGTAAAAATGTTCTTAATATGATATTATAAAAGGTATACATATGGTTAATATAATAATTTTATGAAATATTATATATTATGGATTTATTTTTATCACATACTGTATATA